AAATAAAAGAGCCACTAGTGCTGTAAAAACTCAAAACAATATATATAGGTTCTTACATTTATGCAGATTTTGCACATTTTCTATCTTAGTCAGGTAAATAATATCCTGTTGTCATTTTGCACATCTCTGATATTGCTGCTATTTTCAAATATCCCTCACTGTAAAAATGTCTATAGCTGTATATTGGTTATTTATTCTCCAGGTGCACAGTTTTATATTGTTAAAACACTTTACAGTACAGTATTTTATTGTACTGTATATTTGTGTGAACATTTTTTCTATAATCTTTCTGCTGCTGTAAAAAAAAAACAGAATTCCCCCATGTAGGACAATAAAAGGATTTTCTATTCTATTCTAAAATATGGCCTCCCAGTTAGCAATATAAAAAAAAAACTCATCTTAACTGTATCTACAGAAAGGGAACCAGCGGTAATAATGCTGCCACCACCATGCTTCAGAGTGGCCACTCCTCTAGGATTCCATCTATCCTTAGATATGGCTCCAGTCAAAGACATGTTCTAGGGTCCTGTAACCCATGCTTCCTCTTCATAGGTTATTCTTGTGAATCATACAGTAATTTCAGGTCAGAGGTAAACAGACCTTCTATTGAGTCCACCATCTTGGGGTTTCCTTCTAGAAAGGCGTGCCTGCTAAAGCAGAACCACTTTAACTGGACCCTATCGATACCAGTCTATGTTGTTCCTCCTACCACAGTTCCAGATACATTGATAAAGCTTCATTGGAGACCAATGAGACCAATGGAGAAGCACATCTGCGCAGCCTTGACGAAGCATCTTTATTTTTCATTTCCTTCTTTAACAAAAAAATACAAACTCACCTTTAACAGACACCTCCATCCTAGTATCCGATGGACGGAGCACTAACAGCTAACACTAAAAGGTTAACTTCGCCGGTTGCTAGTTATCATTGCTAGTTTATATTTATTTCTTACTTTAGGGACATTTAACCCCCTGCCTTTACACTACCGAACCCAAAGGTTTTATTTAAACACGGCGTCCTCGTCTCTGTCTGAACGCAAACCTGAAGGTTTTAGAGACGCTTTTCAAAAGCCTTTCAGTTTAGTTCAACAATCTGTAGTTCGAACTGTAGCCAAACAATGTGTGACGTCGGGGCCAGGTGATTGGTCCGATGGCTCTTCCTTAGACTTTATTGTTAGGTTAGAAAATGCACCGCTTTGTGAGAACCGCCCCCTACTGGTTTGGAGTGTCAGTGAGACTGGAAAAAGGTGTATCTAAAAAGTTTGTCATTTATTGATGGAATTTAAGAAATATAAAAAAAAAGACTGTAGATTATAAAATAAACTTAGATTTAACATTTCTAAGGTGTTGAAAATAAACAGAAAAAAATAATGTTTATTAAAAGTTTATCCAATAAGTAGTGTAATAAGTGTGTAATAAGTATTGGAGTGCTTGAAATGAATTCCCATTCAACAGCAACAGTTCAAAATAGTTTCTCACATTTTTATAGACTCTTCTTTTGACTTTTCTTTAGTTGTAGTGTATCAGATTATATGCGAGAGGAGGGGTCTTCAACTTTTTCCAGGCCAAGGACCCCAAAACTGATGGCGAGATGGAGCGGGGACCCCTAATTATATACACTACCGTTCAAATGTTTGGGGTCACCCAAACAATTTTGTGTTCTCCTGAAAAGTCACACTTATTCACCACCATACGTTATGAAATTAATAGAAAATAGAGACAAGACATTGACAAGGTTAGAAATAATGATTTGTATTTGAAATAAGATTTTTTTTTTTACATCACCTTTGCTTTCATCAAAGAATCCTCCATTTGCAGCAATTACAGCTTTGCAGACCCTTGGCATTCTATCTGTTAATTTGTTGAGGTAGTCTGGATAAATTGCACCCCACGCTTCCAGAAGCAGCTCCCAAAAGTTGGGTTGGTTGGATGGGCACTTCTTGCGTACCATACAGTCAAGCTGCTCCCACAACAGCTCAATGGGGTTCAGATCTGGTGACTGCGCTGGCCACTCCATTACCGATAGAATACCAGCTGCCTGATTCTGCTCTAAATGGTTCTTGCACAATTTGGAGGTGTG